GGGTTTCACCATGTTGACCAGGATGGTCTCGATCTCTTGACCTCGTGATCCACCCGCCTCGGCCTCCCAAAGTGCTGGGATTACAGGCTTGAGCCACCGCGCCCGGCCTATTTATTTATTTTTAAGACAGAGCCTTGCTCTGTTGCTCAGGCTGGAATGCAGTGGCGCAATCTCAGCTCACTGCAACCTCTATCTCCCAGTTTCAAGCGATTCTCCTGCCTCAGCCTCCCAAGTAGCTGGGATTACAAGCACCTACCACCACGCTCAGCTAATTTTTTGTATTTTTAGTAAAGACGGGATTTTGCCATGTTGGCCAGGCTGTTCTCAAACCCCTAACCTCAAGTGTATTGCCCACCTCAGCCTCCCAAAGTGCTGGGATTACAGGCATGAGCCACCTCACCCAGCCTCATGATTATATTTTCTTTTTATTTTTTTTATAGACGGAGTTTCACCTTGTTGGTCAGGCGGTCTTGAACTCCTGACCTCAGGTGATCTGCCTGCCTTGGCCTCCAAAGTGCTTGGATTACAGGCGTAAGCCACCGCGCCCAGCCAATTATATTTTCTTTTAAGAGATGGCTTTCACCTTGTTGGTCAGGCTCGTCTCGAACTCCTTACCTCTAGTGATCCACCCACCTCGGCCTCCCAAAATGCTGGGATTACAGGCATGAGCCACCACGCCAGGCCCCATGATTACATTTAATAAACTAATAACAATTCTATAATATTGATTATTAGCCAGTTAACAGTCCCATTGTCCCAGTCGTCCCGCAAATGTCCTCCATAGCTAGTTTGTCCAGGCCAGAACTCTCCAGGACATCACATTGTACCAGTTGTTTAAGTCCTTTAAGTCCTTTTTATTTCAGGGCAGTAATCAACTCCTGTCTGAGTTCGAGCACTTTGAGAGGGAGCTTGGCAGATGCAGGGAGTTGGGGGTGCTGTGTTTGGAGTATAAGAAAGCACTCTTTAGCCATGGCTAGCCAGAGGAGGCTGAGGGCCTCTTCAGGAGAAAGAGCCATGGCTTTGGAGGCAGCTGGGGGAGGAGAGCTTACTGGGACTGGGATGGGGGTCCTGGCCCTCCTGCCCACTTCTAGGTAGGGGAGAAGAGGAGGGAGTCAGCATGGCCTCTACAACAATAACACTGGCTTTTAATTAACATTCTTTTGTTTTTTTTTTTGAGACAGAGTCTCGCTCTGTCACCTAGGCTTGAGTGCAGTGGCGTAATCTCAGCTTACTGCAACCTCTGTCTCGGGTTCTAAGCGATTCTCCTGCCTCAGCCTCCCAAGTACCTTGGATTACAGGCATGCACCGCCATGCCAGGCTAATTTTTGTATTTTTAGTAGAGAGGGGGTTTCACCATGTTGGCCAGGCTGGTCATGAACTCATTGCTTCAGGTGATCCGCCCACTTTGGCCTCCCAAAGTGCTGGGATTACAGGCATGAGCCATCACGCCCAGCCTGGCCAACATAGTGAAACCCTGTCTCTACTAAAAATACAAAAATTAGCTGGTGTGGTGGCAGGTACCTGTAATCCCGACTATGGTGGATTGTGGGGGGCCGGCAGGGAGGGCTGAGGCAGGAGAATCGCTTGAACCCAGGAGGTGGAGGTTGCAGTGAGCCAAGATTGAATCCGGCCTGGGCTACAGAGCAAGACTCCATCTCAATAAAATATATAAAATAAAAGTAAATAAATTAATTAATTTTTTTAGAAATTAGGTAACACATGCACAAAAGGCATAAAAAGTTAGATGCTACCATCCCACCCACATTATCCCTCTGTCACCCAGTCCCTCTCCCTGGAGGCAACCCCTGTGTCCAGTCTTATGTCTTCCTCCAGAAATATCATACGCCTATGTGCCTATGCAAACACAGACTCGTGTTCTCCCCACACACCTTTTTAAAAAGTTTTATGTTGAAATAATCTTAGATTTATAATTTCCTCATTTTATACAATTATTACTGTGCTACACACACATCTGTACACCTTATTCTAATCATACCTCCATATCAGTGTGCATGAAGCTGCCCCCCCCTTTTTTTTTTTTTTTTCAAAATTTAAAGATGGGGTCTTGCTCTATTGCCCAGGCTAGAGTGCAGTGGTGCAATCATAGTTCACTGTAGCCTGGAACTCCTGGGATCAAGCAATCCTCGCACCTGAGCCTCCCAAGTAGCTAGGACTACAGGCACACACCACCACACCTGGCTAATTTTTTGTACTTTTTGTTGAGACAGGGTATCACCATGTTGCCCAGGCTCTCAAACTCCTGGTCTCAAGCGATCTACCCACCTCAGCCTCCCAAAGTGTTGGGATTACAGGCATGAGCCACTGAACCTGGCCAGATTTTTTATTTTTTGTAGAGATGAGATCTTACCATGTTGCCAAGCTGGTCTTGAACTCCTGGCCTTAAGCAGTCCTCCCACCTCGGTTTCCCAGAGTGCTGGGATTACAGGCATGAGCCATTGCACCCTGTCTTGGACACAGGTTTGATTCCAGTCTTTTGTTTCAAGCAAGCCTGCAGGGAACGTTCATATGTATTTGGGAGACAACAGCATATGGCTCATGACCATTGTCTCAAGAAGACTGTCCAGCATTTTTAGACCCTGTAGCCTGGTAAGACCTGGAGAACTTAGGCATAGGGGTAGGGGTGGAGGTGTTCAATAAAGAAGAATAAGAAAAGAAGACACACTAATATTGATTGAGCTAGGAACTTTTACATGTGTGTAACTGCCAAAAGCCACTCTGTGAAATGGAGATTGGGAAAAGGGAGGCTCAGAGAGATTAAATGATTATCCAAGTTCACACAACAAAACGTGGCAGGGCTTTGGCACCAAATACTGCTGTCTTTCTACGATTCATTTGAGTATAGTTAAAACAGCAAAAGTAAGCATAGTCTTATTCACATCATCCCCAGATCCCTAAATGAGGAATGGAAAGGAGGGGTGGGGGAAGAGGTGTGAATCTTAAAAAGAGGGAATTATGTAACATTTAAAATATTTAATAATTGTGGGCCAGGCGCAGTGGCTCATGTCTGTAACTTAGCACTTTGGGATGCTGAGGGGGGTGGATCACCTGAGGTCAGGAGTTCAAGACCAGTCTGACCAACATGGCGAAACCCCATCTCTACTAAAAATACAAAAAATGAGCTGGTCCTGGTGGCACACGCCTGTAATCTCAGCTACTCGGGAGTCTGAGGCAGGAGAATTGCTCATACCCAGGAGTTGGAGGTTGTAGTGAACCGATATCGTGCCACTGCACTCCAGCCTGGGTGACACAACAAGACTCCATCCCAAAAAAAAAAAAATTAATAATTGCTAAAGCAGGGGGCGGGACCTAAAAAATAATAATTGTTAAAGCAATGCTTAATCATTATAGATCATTCTGGAAGTCTAGAAAACTTTAAAAAGCAAGCAGAAATAAATTTTATTTTCCTGCAGTGAAGTGGACATTGCTAATAACATAGTGACGTATTTCCTTCCAACTTTTTTTTCTTTTTCTTTTCTTTTTTTTTTTTTTTTTTGAGACAGAATCTCATTCTGTTGCCCAGGCTGGAGTGCAGTGGCACGATCTACAACCTCTGCTTCCCAGGTTCAAGTGATTCTCCTGCCTCAACCTCCCAAGTTGCTGGGACTATAGGCTCAAACCACCACACCCAGCTAATTTTTCTATTTTTAGTAGAGATGGGATTTTACCATGTTAACCAGGATGATCTTGATCTGTTGGCCTTGTGATCTGCCCACCTTGGCCTCCCAAAGTGCTGAGATTACAGGCATGAGCCACCATGCCCGGCCTACCTTCCAGCTTTTTAAATTTTATTTTATTTTATTTATTTATTTTTTTTATGAGACGGAGTTTTGCTCTGTCGCCAGCCTGGAGTGCGGTGGTGCAATCTTGGCTCACTGCAACCTCCGCCTCCTGGGTTCAAGTGATTCTTCCACCTCAGCCTCCCGAGTAGCTGGGACCACAGGCATGTGCCACCACGCCTGGCTAGTTTTTGTATTTTTAGTAGAGACGGGGTTTCACCATGTTGGCCAGGATGGTCTCGATCTCTTGACCTTGCCCACCTCGGCCTCTCAAAGTGCTGGGATTACAGGTGTGAGCCACCGTGCCCAACCTAAATTTTATTTTTATTTATGTTTTGAGACAGAGTCTTAGTCTGTTGTCCAAGCTGGAGTGCAGTGGCGGGATCTTGACTCCCTGCAGCCTTCACCTCCCAGGTTTAAGAGTAGCTGGGATTACAGGTGCTCGCCACCATGCCCAGCTAATTTTTATAGTATTTTTAGTAGAGACGGGGTTTCACCATGTTGTCCAGGCTAGTCTCAAGCTCTTGATCTCAAGTGATCCGCATGCTTCAGCCTCCCAAAGTGCCAGCGTTTTTTTTTTTGTTTGTTTGTTTTTTTGAGACGGAGTTTTGCTGTTGTTGCCCAGGCTGGAGTGCAATGGCCCGATCTCGGCTCACCGCAACCTCCGCCTCCTGGGTTCAAGCAATTCTCCGGCCTCAGCCTCCCGAGTAGCTGGGACTACAGGCATGCACCATCATGCCCAGCTAATTTTTGTATTTTTAGTAGAGACGGGGTTTCACCTTGTTGACCAGGATGGTCTCGATCTCTTGACCTCGTGATCCACCCGCCTCGGCCTCCCAAAGTGCTGGGATTACAGGCTTGAGCCACCGCGCCCGGCCCAGTGCCAGCGTTTTTATAAATGCATTTTTACAAAGTTGAGGTCCTCCTTCATATAATAGTTAGAAAGAGGTACATTTTGAATAGGTACAGTGTTACCTAACAACTGTTTTAGGAAATTTGTTAACTTTAAGATGAACCAGGCTAAATATAGAACCTTCTAGAAATGACATTGTCATGGGTAAGGGCTGTTCTAGCCTCAGTCAGTCAACAGTTATTTATCAAGCACATATTATATGTCAGGTGCCATGTGGGGTGCTAGGGACTATGCGGATGACAAGCCAGATGCATTCCCTGTCTTCAGAGAGTCCACAGTCTAGCACAGGAAAGAGATCATTATCATAGAATAAATACTTAGTAACTGAGTCATTAAATTGGGAAGATGAAGTGCTGGAGAGAAGTTTTGGGATCTGTGGGAATGAAAAATTGCTTAAACCTAGACTGGAGCATCTGAGGCCTTTGCCCAGCTGAGACTGGAAGGCTGAGGGAAGGTGGCTGGGGAGCACAGCAGGCAGTGGGACCTGCCAGGACAAAGCCAGGAGCAGAGAAAAACCCGATGTGTCAGAAGCAGTCCAGGAAGGACAGTGTGGCTGGAGCAGCAGAGGAGGGCCCTGGGATGAGGTGTGAGAAATGAGCAGGGCCCTGGCTGCAGTACTTTCAAGGCTGCAGGGAGGAGCCTGGAACGTGTTCTGTGAGTAGTGGAAAGATGTTAGAGGATTTTAAGCTGGGAGTGATGTGATGAGATTTATGTGTTTTTGTTGTTTGTTTCTTTTGACGGAGTCTCTCTCTGTCGCCCAGGCTGGAGTGCACTGGTGCGATCTCGGCCCACTGCCACCTCCACCTCCTGGGTTTAAGCGATTCTCCTGCCTCAGTAGCTGGGACTACAGGTGCATGCAACCATGGCCAGCTAATTTTTTGTATTTTTAGTAGAGACGGGGTTTCACCATGTTAGCCAGGATGGTCTCAATTTCTTGACCTTGTGATCCACCCGTCTTGGCCTTCCAAAGTGCTGGAATTACAGGCGTGAGGCGTGAGCCACCACGCCCAGCCGAGATTGATGTTTTTAAAAGATGAGAGTGTCTGCAACGAGAACGCCAGGATGGAGCAGAGGGAGCAATTCCACAAAGCCCGTTGAGCAAGGATGGTGAACATTTTACATGTACCATCTCCTTCATTAAAATTATAGGGCCAGGCACGATGGCTCACACCTGTAATCCCGGCACTTTGGGAGGCCAAGGTGGGCAGGGCAGATCATCTGAGGTCAGTAATTTGAGACCAGCCTGGCCAACATGGAGGAACCTTGTCTCTATTAAAAATACAAAAATTAGGCGGGTGTGGTGGCGTGTGCCTGTAATTCCAGCTACTTGGGAGGCTGAGGCAGGAGAATCACTTGAACCCAGGAGGTAAAGGTTGCAGTGAGCTGAGATCGCACCACTGCACTCCAGCCTGGGCAACAAAGTGAGACTCCATCTCAAAAAAAAGAGAAAGAAATTATAACCAGCTCTCTGAGATTTAACATCCCTTTTTATGCTGAGCATGATTGGTGGCACACACTTGTAGTCTCAGCTACTCAGGGGGCTGAGGCTGGAGGATCGCTAGAGCCCAGGATTTCAAGTCTGCAGTGAACTATGATCGCACTCACTGGGTTACACTGTGAGGCTCTGTCTCTAAATAATTAAAAATAAACATCCCTTTTATGGGGAAACTGAGGCTCAGAGAAGTTAAAGGACATGCCTGAGACCATACTACCAGGAAGTGTCAGGGCCAGGATTTGCATCCAGCATGATTTCCCCTCCCAAAGTGATGTTAGAATTTGGGATGGGGAGAGAGAACAAGGGGTCAAAAGGAGAGCCCAAAAAGAAAGTGTGACACAGTGACATTGCAGTAACTGTTTTCTTCTGTTTCTACAGCTATGGAGCCAAAATCCGAGCCCCTCACGCACTGGTCATGACCTTTCTCTTCCGGCATGGCAGGTACACATCCCAAAATGGAAGAGAATGTGGTCAGCCCTCAGTGCCAGGACAGTCATAATAGCTTCTTAGCTGGGTCTACCCTGCCCCCCGATCACGCCTCCTAAAGTCCAACTCTTTTTTTTTGTTTTGTGTTTTGTTGTTGTTGTTGAGATGGAGTCTCTCTCTGTCATCCAGGCTGGAGTGCGGTGGTGATCTTGGTTCACTGCAACCTCCACCTCCGGGTTCAAGTGATTCTCCTGCCTCAGTCTCCTGAATAGCTGGGATTACAGGCACCCACCACCACGCCCAGCTAATTTTTGTATTTTTAGTAGAAATGGAGTTTCACTATACTGGCCAGGCTGGTCTTGAACTCCTGACCTCAGGTAATCACCTGCCTGGGGCTCCCAAAGTCCTGGGATTACAGGTGTGAAATACTGCCCGGCCCTGAAGTCCAACTCTGATTCCATTATCCCTGCTTGAAAATTCTCTGTGCCCTTGCTCAAGTGTCTTCACCTTGTTCTCATCTCCCATAGCTTTTCCCTCGAGGCACTCCTTAGAAAACAGGTTTCAGCCAGGCGAGGTGGGGCACACCTGTAATCCTAGCACTTTGGGAGGCCGAGGTGGGCAGATCACGAGGTCAAGAGATCGAGACCATCCTGGCCAACATGATGAAACCCCGTCTCTACTAAAATACAAAAATTAGCTGGGCGTGGTGGCTCACACCTGTAGTCCCAGCTACTCAGGAAGGCTGTGGCAGGAGAATCGCTTGAACCCAGGAGGCAGAGGTTGCAGTGAGCTGAGATTGCGCCACTGCACTCCAGCCTGGCACCTGGCGATAATGCAAGACTCTGTCTCAAAAAAAAAAAAAAAAAAAAAAAAAAAAAAGGAAAAAACGGGTTTCGGTCTAGTGTTTAATGAATATAGGCTCATGTGAATGTACAGGAATCGTGCACTGGCAGCCTCCAGTACAGTAGTCTCAGCTACCTGTAAGATGTCCTCATTTTGTATTTTTATTGATTTGTTTCTGTTTGTTTTTGTTGTTGTCATCCTCCAAGTCTTTTTTTTTTTTTTTTGAGATGAAGTCTTGTTCTGTCACCCAGGCTGGAGTGCAATGGTGAGGTTTCGGCTCACTGCAACCTCCACTTCCCAGGTTGAAGCGATTCTTCTGCCTTAGCCTCCCAGAGTAGCTGGGACTACAGGTGCCACCACGCCTGGCAAATTTTTGTATTTTTAGTAGAGATGGGGTTTCACCATGTTAGCCAGGCTGGTCTCAAACTCCTGACCTCGTGATCCGCCTGCGTCAGCCTCCCAAAGTGCTGGGATTATAGGCATGAGCCACCCTGCCTGGCCTCCAAGTCATTTTTTAAAAACTGAATTCATTTGTTTGTTCAGCAGATATTTATTGAGCATCTGCTACGTACCAGACACTGTTCTAATTACTAGGGATACAACAGTGGACAAAACAGACAGTGACTCCTGCTGACATTCTAGCAGGGGTGGCAGAAAATAAACAGAATAAGGAAAGTCTATGGTATGTTAGAAGGTGATATGGTTATGGAAAAGCAAAATTAGAGCAGGGAAAAAGGGAAAGGGGATCAGAAGGGCTGAGGGGACAGGCAGAATTAACTAGGGGAGGCCGCTGTGAGACCACAGGCATAGCCAGTGCAAAGGTCTTGAGGAAGGAGCATGCCTGATAAATGTGAGAAGGCTGGAGCAGAAGAACTGAAGGGGAGAGAGGATGGAGAGGCAGGTCACAGTTTGACCTGGGTTGGTCCTCTCCAGCTTTGGGTCATAGAGAGGAATTTGGCTTTTCCTTTAAGTCCAATGGGAAATTGTTGCAAGATTTTGAGCAGGGCTGTACCATTATCTGACTTATGTGTTAACAGTGTGAGGGTTAAGAATTTGCTACCAGGCCGGGTGCGGTGGCTCATGCCTGTAATCTCAGCACTTTGGGAGGCTGAGGTGAGTGGTACACTTGAGGTCAGGATTTCGAGACCAGCCTGGCCAACATGTCGAGACCATGCCTCTACTAAAAATACAAAGATTAGGTCAGGGACAGTGGCTCACGCCTGTAATCCCAGCACTTTGGGAGGCCGAGGGACAGTGAGAGCAGCTGGCTCTCACCTCATGCAAACACAGGCCCCAGTGTTGCCAGTTCTAAGGCAGGAAAACTGGATTTCCATGTTGTTCCCAACGAATTTTTTTTTTTTTTTTTTTTTTTTTTTT